CTCCCTTCCGCCCCTGCCGCGCCTGCCGCTCTGCCATGGCTGCGAGGCGGGGGAGCGGGGCCAGCAGGAGGGCTGCACACGCAGCGCTGGGGGAGAACTGGCAGAGAGACTCCTGTCGCGTGGGATTCGTTAGCCAGGTATCGCCGTTGGGCTCGCCTGAGAGCCCGGCTGACAAGGAGCTGTCCAAGGTGGCTGTGCTGAAAGCTTCCACGCCACTGGGGTTCATGAGGAGGCCATCCCAGGGAGAGCCCACATAGGACTTCGAGCTGCTAAGGAAAGAGTCGCTGCAAAGCACCTTTGTGGCGGAGTGGCTTTACTAAAAGCTGAATCTTTCGATAGTCACCTCCCCTTTCCATAACTGTGCTCACAGTGTCACCGCTTCCCTTAGCCTCTGCCTGTTTCAGCCAATTAAACCTACCTTTCCTGTCACCTTTTCCCCTCTGGAACCAACTGACCTTTGGCAAATGCATGCAGGGCTTTCGGTGTTACCCCAGTGTGCAGGAAATGTGTCTTTGGGCTGCACTGTAAGTGAAGCCATATATATGCTCCTTTAAGTAATAATAAGGAGGGTGCCTGCAGTTTTCCAACACTGAGAGTCAATAGCTGAAAGGCCTTTCCCCTACAAACTGATCTTCAGCTTATTTTTTGGTCCTTTAAATTTGTAAACAGCAGTGCAATAGTGAATCTATCACGTCTGTTAAACATTCAACACCATTCTTTTAGAGTGATTAAACAGCGAATGCCTCTTCTGAAACATAGCATTTCCTGATGTAAACTATCAGCTATGTCAAAGCCACCCACTTTTAACGGAATTAAATTTGCAGGCTTCTCTGGGTACTGACCTTCAAAGTTTCAGTCTCTTTATTTCTTCCCAGTGAATAGTTCTGGTTTTCCTCAGTAAAAAAACCTCTAATTTCTTGCATTATTATCCTGCCAAAAGAATAATATTTATGCATGTCTGAATAGAATTTGCAACGGTAATGTATATCAACCTTCTTTGCTAACTGGAATAATATTTTAATTTGGGGAAACATATGGATAACTTTAGAGACACACACTAAATTATCTCTAGACATCGTCTGATCTCAGTCCTGTCAATGGGTCACATTTTGTAAAACTTTATCTAGCTTGAATGAGCTGAGGTAGGATTATAGTTTCTGAAAGGAGTTGCTCCTTACAATGTTGAACAGAGTTAGGCCATCAAACATAGGACCTGATATAATACTCGTTGAATTCAGTGGAAAGGCTTTTAGGGGCCAATTCTGCAAACTCATAAGCATGTGTTTAACTTTTACTCATGCAAGGAGCCTTATGAAAGGCAATGGGAGTAAGGTTATTCACATGCATATGTATTTTTAGAATAGTTCTTCATTTATGATGTCACCATGGAAGAGATTAAGGTGATAATTTCATAATATTGCAGTAGAGTAAGTAAAATATTACAGATTCAAAGTCTTCCTTGTTCTTACCACAAAAATAATAAAACACATTTTCTATGTTGGTTTAAAACAGACTTTTTTATTAAAAGTTTACAATCATTTATGTATTTTACAAATGAATAGAAAGTCTCTTGATCTATATCATATGAATCACAATACAAAAATATGTGTAAAATTTTGTAATTGATCAACATACAGCCATGTTTTAGGCTTGTCAATTACCATTTCAGCACTGAATCAACCATTATATATTTAGGATATGGTTATTAAGAGATTACATTGGAGAACACAAATAACTCATGGCACAGTTGCCATAGGAGAAAACATTTTAAATAATTTATATTTTGCATAAATTTACAATATACCTTTCTATAAAATGTACAATAAATAAATACATGGTTTAATACACATATTCACAATATGATTTCCTGAGTCTAAACTAAATCCATTACTGTGCTAAAACACACTACCTATTATAAGTTTTAATGGTAGCATTATAGATGAAAAGCAATTTGGCATCAATCCACCAAGAATGACTTTCAGGTACGATGTTTTTCTTAACTACTAGTGTTTATGTTAACAAGCTGTGTAAGGCACTCAAGGATATACTGAAGGCTACAGAAATTACTAGAGTTGAACACTTTAAATAAAAGCCACAGTCCTTCAACAGCTTGAACAATAGGTATAGGCCTGAAATACGCAAAATGCAGCTGTCAACAAATTAAGCTACAATTCAAATGGATTTTAGTTTAGACATAATCAAAAACATTTGTGTTGCAATGCACATGCTGTCTAATCAATCAATATAATTAGTGTTATCTAGACAGTGAACATTTAAGACTACTTCAGTGTCTCTTCAGAATTTTTGTTATTATGAATCAATACATTTACACTTAATTTTCAAATTCTCATAGGCAAAACTTACCCATAATAATATATCAATAACCAACTTAATGTTATAATTTTTATCCAGGCCTCAGTCTTATAATAATTTGAAAGTAACATACAAGATTTGGGGTAGGTTAAAAAAAACACAGAAAAATTATGATTTAGGTAGTCCAAACCTTAACAACATTGGTGCAAACTTATTCACTGGCTATAGCCCAAGGAGACTTACTTTTGTGAGTAATAAGTGCTCTCCAGTTTAAATCACGTTTATTCAAACAAACTTTATATTTTAATTTCCACATTTCATTTTTATATTAAAACACTTCATTATGAAAACCTAGATTTAGGCTAATGCACCAGCCTGTAATCCTATATTTTTAGGATCAAATTTTTTAAAAGGTGCACAAGACCATAAAAGAAAAAGATAGCAACAATCATATGATCTGATACTGCTATCCTTACATAATAGCATCAATGACACTGTCATTGGCATAAAACATTATTCAATATAAATTAGGGTGGTAGAATCAGGCACAAAATGATTTAAAGGTGACAGTAAAATAAAATCTGCGCTTAAAATATGTAGCACATATATGTGAACATGAGATGTGTGTAAAGGAAATATTTTTAAAACATTAATTGAGCCACTTTTTTCTTTTCTATGTACATTACTTTTTTTACATATAAACATTAACATCTTCATAAATATCATCACTTATTTACATACTTTTTTGTCCTGTGCATTTAGCTTTTTTAAAAGTGAAATTTAAGAATATTTTATTTGGGGAGGAGGAGATGAGGAACTGAATTCTAGACATATCTACAACATGCAAAACCTTGGCTCAAGTAAACAAAAGTTAAATGTATTCTAACTAGTTTCAAATATAGTTGCCTTTGTATTCTAAACTCCTAACCATGGCATCAAATATTAACATGCATATCCACACCAGTAGCAGCATTTGAATTCCTAAGCTCACTGGGAACATTAGGTCTTTTTGTCAGGCATTTAACTTAAGGCATTTTTATAGATGCCTGCATAGTACAT